TTTTTATCTTATGTTAACGTATCTTTCTTTTTTTTTTGTCGTAAAGAAAAAAAAATATATATATTGCGATATATATGATCGATCTAATTAATTATCTTAAGATAGTTTGTTTCCTTTTTGTTTTTGTTTTTTTATTAAATGCAACGAAAACGTAAAAAACAAAACAGGATTTATTTGTACAGAAAAAGAAATTTGATCACATATTACAATCTGAACTTTAAAAAAAAAACAGATTAATATTAGTCTTTTGTTTTTTGAAAATAATAAATGAATCATTTCATTCTTTTTTTTCTAATTATATATTGTTAAAATCTATAATATCACTTGTATTGCTATATGATTGATTATCTAAGATAATTCTTAATATTAGGAAAAAAAATCTAAGTAAGTTTCATTTTGTAAATGAAACATCTGTAATATTTTCTATACTTGTTGTATCGATTGTTATATCGTCAAAACCTCGTGCATACAATGATTTACAACTGTTTTGTAATGTTATATTATGAATTTGATAATGTATTGATTCAAATTGACAAATATGTTCGTGTTCTATTTCTTCAATTGACGCCATTTTAGAAATATTTTCTTAAAATGAATATCTAAGACTAGATAAATATTTCTTTTTTTCGATTAATCTACAACGAAAAAAAATATTCGAATAATTATAGTTTGAAAAAGATTAAAAATAAAAGTTGAAATTTTTTACTATGAAAATACTTTATTGATATTGTGAACGAAGATTTAATAATAGACATGTATAGTAATTCGTAAATAACTATCGAAAAAGCACAGAAAGAAGATTACAGATTGTAACAGAACTAAAAATAAATAACTGGAAGAAAAAGTAAGAGAAATGAATCTACTGTGCAAATGTTCAAATAGAATGAATAGGATACTTTATATTAACAATAGTATGAAATCGTATTTAAGAGTAACCCAAATTTTTTGTTAAATGAAATAGCAGATTAAGTAAATATATAGTAGCTGATAACATGGGACAGGCCTTCTCTTCATTTCACAGAATGGGGAACCCTTGAAATCCCACAAGATGAGTCATTCTTTTCCACTAACTTTCTTTCTCCTATTCAAAATGACGAGTATACGCTTACTATTAATTTATACTCAATACGAATAGATAAGAATACCGTTTCAATGCCTTGATCTTTTTACAATAATACTCTAAACGGAAATATATTTTTCCAACACAATAATAAATTTTGTTATTGTGTCATGCATTTTTGTTTGCTTCCTATTTTCTCTTTATAATTTATTCTAAAAAAATAAATAATACTAAACAGATAATTTGTTTTCTTTTGAATTGATTATTATTATTCATTAAATCAAAATGATACAATGAGTTTTTTTATTTTATTTTATCTTATAATTGATCAAAATCTTTTTTTTTTGTTTCTAGAATATTTAATTTCTCATAACAAAATAAATATTATATATAAATATATATTATGCAACTACATCCATTAAATCCATGTCTGTTTTACTATAAGATTCATCAGGAAGTATTTGTTGATGATTTTTAATTTCAACTGAATCTGATATTGGTTGTTGTTGTTGTTTTTTATCATTTTGTAAAGCTGGATTTGATTGAATTATACTTTTAACTGTTCGATAATTTTTTGATTTATTTTCATATACATCCGAAAATAAATGAATTAATCGATCAAAACGTCGATCTTTTGCTGCACTTTTAGGTTTTTCAGGAAAAAAAGATTCATAACTAGAATCATCATTGAAATCACCAAATAGATCATGAACAGTTAATGGTACAAGAGTATTTGAACGAACATGATTTTGTTTTATTGAATTACGATGATTATTTGTTATTTGACTTAAACCATATATTCGTTCAGATGATTTTTGTTGTCGATTAGAAAATTTTGTTGTATTTATTTGTGGCATTTTAGTTTTTTTAATTGATTGTTCTCGTGAAAATGTTAATTCGGATTTAATATTTGATGATGATGATGATGTAAGTGATTGAAATGATGAACTTATAAATGGTTCATTTTTATTAAATGTACTTTTCGATGATGTATCTTGAGATAAATCATTTATTAATGGTTCAATATATCTAAATAAATATTTTATTAAATTTTAAAAATAATATTCAAAAAATAATTTTACATACGGTAAAAGACCAGGCATAATTGTTTCGGCTTTTATTCGTTGATTTTTAAGAAATTTATTTTTTTCAAAATCACATCGAGTAATTTTACGATTACGTTCATATGATAAATTAGTCATATTAGAAAAAAATTGTCTACTTAACATAACATGTTGTCTAGCATCTATTGACATAGAACCTAAATTAGGTGTAAATTTTTTTACTTTAACATCTTTGTCTATCCAATTAGATATTGTCAATGGTAATTGTTGTCGTTTTGAATACATATTTTAACGAATGAATCGATTTTATTTTTTAAAATGTTTTATGCACAACAAACATTTTTATAATCCATTGTACATAAAAAGAAGAGCAAGTAAGAAAAAACAAAATCCTATCAAGAATACTTATGTTTCTTTTACTAATAATCGGTCAAGTATCATACTAACAACAATTTTCTTAAGTACACGTTTTTAATGCTTACCTATTTTGATATTTTTGTAACTATGTTGAGCAAAAAAAAAAAAAGTATTTGTTTTTTTAATTTGGAGTTTTTTTGTTTTGAAGATGAAAAAGCTGACAATCTTTTTTCTTTTTTTTTGCGTGTTACTTTACAAGATGTTCTTTTTTTTTTATAGACAATGAATCATACACATAATGTGTACACTGATGAACAAATACTATCAAATATGAAAGATTAATTGAACGTAAATATTCATGATTTAATAATAGATTAAGACATAGTAAATTACAAAAAAAAACAGCTAATATTGACTTTCTAACAAGACTTATGCTTGGATCAAATACGCTACAAAATATATCCCAGATATATGGAAACATGAACAACGTATTTAGTAGACGATTGCATATAACTATAGTTTAATTCTAAGTTCAATAAAATTTATCAAGCAATATTTGTATGTATTTCATTTCAATAAAGAATTCTTATTTTTTTTTATACTAATATTAAATCGAACGAACATTCTACGTCATAAATCTTTTTGTTTTCAAGTAAACAAAAAAATATATATATATGTTTTTGAGTGTTTAAGTAAGAAGAAGTATGTGTGAATAAGATTGTCATAATGCTTATCTTGGGTGTCGACTAAATTTCATCTAATGAAGTAAGATTCTTACTTTGAATATGTTTTTTGCGATGAATGTCTAGCTTTTATTGTAGATCAATAAACAAGTTTTCTTTCGTTGTTATTTTATTTCTACTACAAACTATTAACAAAATACAAAAATAAATTTTATTTCATACAATTCCGATGAAATATAAAAAGAATGACAAAGAGAGTTTTTTAGTATAATTCATATTCATCATTGACAACTAATTATTATTAGATCTGTTGGTTTTGATAGTATTTGTTTTTCTTAGAAACTTTCTAAAATGAACTTGAATTTGATTCTCTTATGAAGCAAGATATATACATTTTTTCTATTCAATATTTTTACTTGTCTTATATTGATATACAATTGATACATTTTCTGAATAAGATCTTTTTCCTAAAATGATAATTAGGATTGTGCATAGTTTTCATAATCTACAGAGAGATAAGATATGAAAATGAGTCATCATACGGCAATGTTCACAATATTGTATGCTGTCATTAAACATTGACCTAGCTTTCAGTAAAATATATTGTGTGAAAAGGTTGTATATGTACTGTATTGTTAGTAAAATTGAATGCAATGACCTATTAACTATCGTCGTGTTCAATGAATAAATCATATTAATACGTTCATAGATATGCATCCATATTTCTTGATATCACATGACAGTTACCTTGAAGATCAGACAAGAATCGTATCTGAACTGATAAAGACAAAAAAGAGTCTTACCTGATCGATAAAAAAAAAAAAGTTTAAAAAATATGGAATTAATACGTCAAAATACTTCGAATAGTGAGAAATATTTATGTTTTATTTTTTTGTCATTCACTATAATTATAATTCATTTTTAAAGAATTCTACTATGAATTTTTGTTAATTATAAATGTTTTATGCAAATATTCTATAGGAAGAAAAATAAGTAATAGAAAGTATTAGAGTTATATCCAAGATCAATCAAGGTTGAGCGTTTACCATGAATATGAGAATAATGATTTACAAGTTTTTGTTTTTTTTTTATATATATAAAACTCATTCGTTCTTATGTACTATCGAAAGATATAAGAAAAAGTTTGTATAAGTTTAATTAATTTAACAAAAAGAAAATTTTTCATAGTCGGTTTAAGAATTATTTCAAATACAATTTTTTAAATACCAACTTCGTTTTTTCTTTTTTTGTGATCGAGCGATGTTTTATCTTATCATTTTCTATTGTGACTTAACTGATAAGGTAGCATCATATATATATATATTGAGGACAATTATTGACGAAAAATTACATAGAAAGTCAAGAAAATTAAATATATCATACTTTAAGTTTTTTAAGAAAATATGATAATATAACTTCTTAAAATGAATATAAATTAATCTATTAGATGAAATCGTAGTAGATTAAAATTTATTCTTATTAAACTTTAGTTTCTTTCTTATTCTAGAATTATGAATAATTCTGTAAAAGTGACATCTGAAAAAATTATACTAAATATTATGTACAAATAATTTTTTTTTTAAATTCTTACTCATAAACATTATCATTTCCATGTTTTTTTTATTACTCATTCTTATCAAGATTTTTTATTTCGAATTCATTCGTTGTTATTATCTATAATTATTACACAACATGCATTATAGACAAACTAAATCTCTCTATTCAAGTAAGTAAACGTAAAATGACTTAGGTTTTTTCTTTCTTTTCGAATGATGTCAGATTTACAAAAGAAAAAAAAAAACTAAACAATTTTCTATGTAGTTTTAGATAATAGTGATGTCTGTGTTAGATTTTATAATACCAAGAAGACTAGATAATCCCGATGAATTAATATCTAATCTAGAATCTTTACCATCCTATGAAAATTTAATACAAAATTCTGATGAATCGACTGTTTTTGATGATGAACAAGAACCATCATTAGGTTTAATTAATTTTATTCGAAAAAGTTCTCTATCCGAATCACCAACACCATCACCACCACCAACAATAATAGATTCTTCAAATAATGTAAGAATAATTCTAAAAATTTTTTGAAATTATATCGTTTATTTTCATCAGTCATATCTAGATAAGTATTGATGATGATATAATAACAAATGTAACTGATTCAATTTCAACAAATAGTGTTGATGAACAACATTTAAATCAAAATAGTGATGATGAATCATATATAAATTTACTTAAAAGTCGTGTTAAACATGTATTTGTTATGAGTGAAAATGGTAAACCAGTTTTTACAAGGTCAGGTCTTTAAATGATAAATTATTTTACAGTTTTTTTTTTTTTTTTTGTATATCTTAGATATGGTGATGAAGATCAATTAGTTACATTAATGGGTGTTATGCAAACCCTTGTTTCATTTGCTGAATTAACAGAATCTAGTCAATTAAATTATTTAAAAGCTGGCCGTTCTCGTATAGCATTTTTACATAAAGAACCATTTGTATTTGTTTTAGTAACATATACAAATGAACATTCAATATGTCTTCTTCAACAATTAACATATGTATATCATCAAATAATAAGTACATTAACATTAAGTCGTATAAAACAAAAATTTATTGTACAACCAAATTTTGATATACGTCGTTGGTTATCAAATGCTGAAAAAAAATTATTACATAATATTATTAATATGTATGAACGTGATTTAGGTATGCTTATAACATCTGCTAAATGTTTAATTTTACCAGTTAATATACGAAATCAAATTGGACAAACAGTTGCACAAACAATACGAGGACAACAAGTAAAAATTTCAAAAAGAGAAAATATTTTTTTTGTTTTTTTTTTTTTTTTAAGGATATGATATTTGCTGTAATACTTGCTCATGGTCATCTTGTTACAATAGCACGTTTAAGAAATTATCATTTACATCCATCAGATCTTTATTTACTTATAAATCTTGTTAATAGTTCAGATGCATTTAAAGGTGTTGAATCATGGGTACCTGTATGTTTACCACGATTTGATCCGGGGTAAATATTTTCGAAAAATAATTCAAGAATAATATATTTTTTGGTATGTGTGTTTTTCTTTTTTTTTTTTCAGAGGTTGTTTTCATGCACATATATCATATTTAGATGATAGTTGTGATGTATGTCTAGTTTTATTAACAGTAAATCCTGAACATTTTCAAATACTTTCTGATTTTAAACAAACTATAAATGAAGTAAAACATATTGATTTTAAGATTAAATTTAAAAGTATTGAATATTTTTTTTTTTTTTATTAGAAATTAAAAAAATTAAATTTAATCATACAAATTAAACTTGCATTAGAAAAAGATCGTCTTTTATATGATGAAATCGCTTGTAATGACTTGAGATATTTTGCATATAAATCACGTGGTTTAAGTCAATATATATCTTCAAAATTATTAAAACCTTATATAACAAAAGAACAACATGTTAGATTATTTGAATTGATTCGTTATGTTTATGGACGTCTTCATAATCCGAATCATCAATTAAAAATTATTTATTTTAAAACTGAATATGAATCATTACTTGGATGGGTTCGTAGACGAAAAATAAAAATCAAATATATTTCATTATTTATTAATCTATATCTATTTTAGTTGGCACCAGGATTTGAATTACATGTAGTATTTTCACCATTTGTTACAATGGAAACTGTTATTTTATGTGCTGATCGTATATTATCATATATAAAACGTGAAGAAAGTCAATTATTTATAATAAGATGCGAATATATTTGATAGAATTAATTGACTCAGACGATTATTATTTTTTTTTCATACTATCAATATTTGATTTCTTTAATTTTTATTTATTTTTTTTTTCTGTAATAAATAATTTGTTTAAAATGATATTTTTTCTGTTCGTTGATTTTCTTTGTATATATATCTAAGTTATCTGATAATACAAACAATGAAATTTTTTATAACAACAACAACAAATGATTGATCAAATCATGTCGGTTTTCAAAAGTATTGTTGTGAGTGCAATATGTTGTTTGCATGATATATCTTTCAATATTGAAGTCTATGAAGGTGTGAAATAATTGATGATTGTTGACATTTCGTTCATGGAGGATATTACAAGTTATCATTATAGAAAATTATTTTTTCTAGACAAAAACTTTTCTTATGTTCTATTAGAAAAAAGTGTTTACAACCTCGAAAAAAAAACATTGCGACACTCATCAATATTAGTTACCTTGGGACAGCTCTTTTGACGCTTAACATGCTCATCATTTGATATCTATCTATACGATCTAGACAGTCTAATAGACTACATCAATTGTTTAAGTAAAAACATTGTAAACAAGTACTTGAGAAATTTTTTGTTTTTTCTATTGAAATTTTTCTTTTGTAATATACGTCGTTTTGAGGCAAATGATCGGTTCTTTCGAAAAGATTCAACCGTAATATGATTTATGCATTGATAAGCTGATGATGTAACTATTGTGCGTGTGTGTGTATGTGTAAAATACAAGAAATAAATGGTTGCGTTCAAAAAAGAAATTTTTTTTTTTGAGTTAATATTAGTATGCGCATAGCCATAAATGAATCGAGTTGTTCTATTCAAATTAGTATTCGTAATGAAAATTTCTTCTATGATATTTAATAAATTTTAATTATAATTATGTTCAATCGATATATTATGTGATAGTATATGGATATTCTAGTAAATTAAAAATAAGATTTTATTTCATTCATATTTTGATTTTGAACAATTCAAGGAAATCCTCCTTATCAATATATTAGATTCCTTGATCAATAGTATTTTGTTGTCCTTTCTCTACATCACCACTAATCAATCAATTGACATAAAATATTCACCGTTCAAGAAAAAAAAAAAGGGTTGACTATCTGTTCTAATGGTTCTTTAATTGATTAAAAATGGATATCGTCACAATAATGAGTGTCCTCATGGTGTCCTTCAATTATCAATCAAGTGCGAATATTTATATATGTAGAAGCTCAGTCAAGCAAACTCTTCTTTTCTCTCGACTTTTTTTTTATTACAAGACGCGACATAGTTGGTATGTACAAGAAGAAAAATGAAGCGAAAAAAAAATGAGGCAGACACGATTCAACTACGTTTGCATGCGTTGTTGCGATACGGTTCAACTATCTTCGTTTACTTAAAACGAGGGCCGTTCTTTTAACATTATCATCATTCGACAGAAAAAAAAGGCGAGAAGAGGACTACGTTGAAACATTTTTATTTATCTAACCTATTAATCATGCAACAAGTCTCACCAGCAGTCGTTCAAAACCGTTATCCACCTGTTTATCATCAATATCCAACGGTTCCAATGGGAAGTCCTCAATCAATAAAATCAATTGATACAACAGTATTTGGACCAAGTGTTCCACCAATAAAAAATTCCAAATTAACAAATAATCATAATCATAATCATCATCATCATCATCATCATACTCACAATCAATCAAATGTTGTTGATTTACGTCGTTTAATTCTATTTAATTTACCAATTGATCTTGTTCAAGAATATCTCGAACTTTATTTAGAATATTTATCTGGTGAAACTGAAATAGAAAGAATTGATTATTCAAATCTTGAAGATACAACTGTTATGGTTACTTTTAAAACAGATCTTGGTTAGTATATAGAAAAAAAAATAATAATAATAATAAAAGCAAGAAAAGTTTATATATATATATATATTTTTTTTTTTTATTAAGATATGTATGAAGTACGTCGTCGTCATGCTACACGAACAAAATTAAATGATTCTGAAATTTCATTAGCTGAAGTAACATCACCAACAACTGTAATGATAAGAAATTTACCATTGGATATATCACGTGATGTACTTGAATTATATTTTTCAAATCGACGTCGTAGTGATGGTGGACAAGTTGTTGATGTAACATTTGATCATGAACATCAACATGCACTGGTTACATTTGCTGATCATAAAGGTTATTAATAAAAATAAATAAATAATTATAATAGAATTTCTTTTTTTGTTTTGTTTTTATTAATACATATTTTTCTTTCGTCTAAAATAATTTAGATGTTTGTCGCGTTATAAAACGTGATCATTGGATACATGGTCAACGTCTTGATGTAAAAATTTTCTATGCTCATATGGGTGTTGAACCATTTATTGATGCATCAAATGTTGGAAAAAAACCTGATCCAATATGTTATCGTGCATTAGATAATAGTCGTTATGCCTTTTTACTTAAAAATCGTCCATTACTTGATGAACTACGTGAACTATTAAAACCATATCATGGTAATGTTAGTTTACAAACAGAAGATACTATACAAATAAGTTATACTGAATCACGTATAACAGTAAAACTTCGTTTAAAATGGACAAATGATATTGAAAAATTAGTTGAACATTTTCTAAATGAACGTCTTGTTGTACATAAAGTACCATGGAATAATAATAAAATACCATCGATTACATCTGAACAACTTGCTGATCTTTCATTAAAAGATAATACACGTCTTATTCAATTAGCACCATTGGATAGTCAACAAGATCATATTATTGTAACAGCATTAAAAGATCATTTAGATCATGCTTTAAGTGAACTAACTGATATGCTTACAACACGTACAACAACTATAAATCATATACCTTTAAACGATGCTATTTATCGTAGTAAACCAGTAAGTGCAACACGTGATCCAAAAGTAAATAATCATCGATCATCATTATTACTTCGATCATCTTCACCATCAAAACAAAGTTTTAATAGTATTGAATTAACACCACCACCAGCATTATTACAACCATCAATGGCCATTATTGATGATAGTCTTGAGAATTTACGTTTATATCAAATTGATCTACTTTCAATGCGTTTTATTGATTTATCACGACGTACTTATATGAATTTAACTATTGATATTGATCGTACAGGACGACGTATTATTTTTCGTGGTCCACTTGATCAAGTAAATCTTTGTAAACATTATTTTGAATCAATACTTAATGGAATTGTTCATAAACATTATAAGATTGGAAAAGAAATGGCTGTTTTTCTATCAAATCCTGATACAGGTAATAAAGAATAAAAAAAAAATGTCCATTATTTTGATGATAAAATAATTTTTTTTTTTTTATATTTTCTATATCGAACTAGTTGAAATAGTTATTGAAAATTTAATACGTGCTGAATATGTATGTGCTTATGAAATTGAACGTATAACTGATCATCATCGACGAAGTTCTACTTCTCCAACATCTAATATGAATAGTCAGGGTCAATCAACAAATAATTTTCATCATAAACTTGCTTTATATGGTTTAAAACGTGAAAATTGTGATCGTGTATATGATTTTCTTCGTCATGATATACGTGTTTGTTCAATAATGTTAGATAAAGATGATAAACGTTGTTTAGCAAGTGATTCTTGGCATGCATATGTACGTGATCTTTATTCAAATCCAGGTGGTTTTCGTCGACGACGTGTTCTATTACAAGTTAAACAAAATCAATTAACATTAGTTGGTTTTGAACAAGATGTTGATGCCATGCGAAAACAAATTTATGATTATTTTGTTGAAAATGCTATCTCATTTTATGAATCAGATTGAATAATTTGAAAAGCAGAAGAAGAAGAATATAAAATAACAATAAAAATAAAGGAAAAAAGAAAATTTGAATTCTTTTTTTTTTTGTTTTTTTTTCTGAAATATTTTTTATTGTATTTCAAATGTAGAATTAGAAAAAAAAAAATTTTAAGTGTTCTAATTATTGAAATTTATCCATGTGTTATTAGCAATAAGGTTCAAGATACAGTCGGCATATCATATTGCGTAAGAGTACCGGTCGCTTTCTTTTTTAATCAATTTTGCTGCGTATAGAGAACTTGAAATAAGTACATATGTTTTCGCAGAAACAAATTTTTAACAAGATTTTTGTCAGAAAATCCTGCCTTTTCGTACGATCTTATCAGACTTGTTTACACTTCCTGTTAAACAGTGTCCTATCTAACTGAAAATATTTTTGAAGATACCTTAGACTATATCTCAGGGTTGATTTTAAGAGAGGCTTCGCCAGACTATCATCTTAGTCAGCCACTGCTCAATTTTTTATCATCTTTTTAACTAAACGAAAAAAACATATTGTGAAATCTTATGAATCTAAAATATTAAGATTTTCTGACCTATTCATGAAAAATACTAAAGAACACAGTCCTTTAATTTTGGCAGCTACATCATAAAAAAATTTTAAAACATGTTTTTTTTTAGCATCTTGTGGGTTTCTTCGATTCTATTTGCTTCTACTCATTGCTTCAACTCGAACAAGGTTTAAAAAGATGCAGAAAAGAGTTCTCTACAAAACGGGCCATGCTAGTAGTCATTACAATCACTATTAGTCACCCGAGCATGCTTTTGAAACCAGAAGGGATCTATGATTTATGAGTGTTATCTTGCCAATAATTTGTCTCTAAGAGTGTTGAGTCGAGTGTCTCCTCCCAAAAAAAACTGAATCCAACTTTTGGAAATGCTTGAAATTCTGCATTTTTTGAGATATTAATCAGACGACAAAAAGTCGTGCACGCGAATTCAGTAGGGACTACATTTGTTATATTAAATGACGAAACGACACATAGCTGTTACAATAAAGTTCGTAGTCAGCAGTTTTTCATTGGGTAGCTTAATATGGGAGATAAATAAGTAGCATATATGAAATCAGCACAAAAAATCTGCATTGGATCAAAATGTATTTTATCATAAATAAAAACTCCGACATAAATT